AAAAAAAAAAAAAAAAAAAAAAAAAAAAAAAAAAAAAAAAAAAAAGAAACAAAACGTTTGGCCAAGGTTCACTTCAGAATTCCTTGTTCAATGAATTTGAATTGAAGATAGAAACGAAAATAACAAGTCCAACTCATGTACTCCCCTCTAAACTCCTCTAAACCCCTTTAAGCCACCTTTAAGCCACCTGTAAGCCACCTTTAAGCCCAGTTTATACCCCCCTTCCCCCCCACTGAGAACAAGCCAACGGAGAACACTGAAAACAAAAAAGAGCCCAAATTTGGGCTCCTTTCGATGGGCACGGACAACTCCACTGTCAGCAAAAAAAAACAAACAGAAGTTTCACTTGCCCGGGGACCCCTGGCAGGCAGAGAGTCGGGCAACCTGCATGGGTGTCTGGCCAGGTGCCCTCCGGTTACCCAGCTGAAACGGGAAAACTTTCTTGAAAAGCTAATACTGTCGGAGGGTGAAGAAGAAAACAGATAATCCTGAACATAGTAGTCGCATGGTCACGACTTGCCGGTGGACAGCAGCCGGGCTGACACTCCCCAGCATGGACATGGATCCAGGACCATACGGACCTGTTCATAAAAAAAGAGAAAAGAACCATGTTGCTGCTCACATCAAGCAACCCACCTGTATATAACCCACCATTGCCATCAGGAGCCCTTGCAATCTGAAAATTCACAAACGAAAAAAAAAGGAGAACAATTTGTCAATCCGTCACAATTTGCAAGAAACACAAGGATTCAGATCACATGATCATTCTTGCAAAGTTTCAAACACTTGTCTCCTCTGTAATATGCGGAATTGGACAATCACTATTAGTGGGTATGAAGTACCATTAACTGCTACCAGCAGTTTAGTTATTGTAGAAGGTTTCCATGCCCCCCAGACAAGTACGACCACCAAAGATGTGAAATAATGCGAACTTCAAATTATATGACAAAAAGACCTCCATCACCTGACACTTACCGTCCAACCATGCAGACTGGACATATACCTCAAGGAAGACGTAAGCCATGTGACTAATGCCCCATCATTCTATGCCTATAATGCTCCACGATAGCGCACATGGACAAGATCTGATAGCTATCATTGCCTATCACATTAAATAACAAAGAATGCAGAAAGAGAAACGAAAAAACGCGCAAAGAGAGCAGCACATAGGCTCCTGGGCAAGGGCATCACCCAAGGGTTTGGAGAAGAGAAAGGACGACCTTGTAGGGCTTCTCCAAGATGATCTTTCCATTCTCATCCAGGCAGGGAAGCTTTCCTTGCAAGAAGAATAGAACCTGCTCCACAGGAGACAAGGCAGTGTGTCAGATTGCCGATTGCATGACTGAGCAGCATTATATTTGCGACTGTTTACATCCATAATCTATTTATCTTTTCGTAGTCATTTCACGAGACATACCAGCTTGAATGAGTAGGTACGGGTTACGGATTACAGACTTTGCACCCCCTCAAATGACAGCCAATTTCAAATCTTTCATCTACTTTGACCAAAGCCCATTGGCAGCTCGATTCTCAACACTCTCTGTATCAGTACCAATGTCCTTTCAAAAAAGATCGTCATCCAATACACATACATAAGCTCACAATTGTCGCCCCACTCTTGGAGAACGTCAATATAGCATTGATTACATAAGGATTACCGCAGTGCAGCACACACCGACATTATTTTTCCTTTCTTTGTTTCTTAATAGCATGATGCATTGCTCCGGGTTATGTGCAATCCTCACAGAGTGATTTGCAAACACAGCGCAAATTCTCACTATAAATGTCACCGGACAAGTTAAGAAATCTGCTTCGAAAGACCCACTTTTTTTCACAACAGCTCCACCGGTTAGCGCTAGGCCACATTAAGGCACCGCAACCGGTACCCATCTAGAGTAACCCCTTCAAAACCTTTGACCATGATACACACTCATTCTTCCACCTTACCCTTCCCACTCCTACACCCCAACCTTATCGATCACCCAAGTTCTCTCTCTCTCTCTCTCTCTCTCTCTCTCTCTCTCTCTCTCTCTCTCTCTCTCTCTCTCTCTTTCCATGATAATGAAGCTACTTTCAGTGCCTCAACTCTGCGGGAGTTAAGACATACAGGAATAAGGAGTCGACCCTTCTGACCTTAATGCCCACCAACCCAACAACCCAATCTTCGTCAGTTAACCAGCCAGCCCCTGTCTCTTTGGTGACAAAAAAAAAGGAGTCTTTGATGGTTCTTTCACACTCCTCTCGAACCTCTTCCTTTGCGGAATATCCCTCCGAACACACCATGCCTCATCGCCTAAGTGAACACCAGCGCAGGCTTACCTCATCCCCACCCTCACTACAGCCAGACTAACAACCTTCCACCATTTCTCGCCCCACAGCCCGCACCTTTGCCCCGGATCATTTCCCCCACTGTCCATCATGGCACTGACCTTCCAGTGCCGCTACCATTCGTCCCTAGCATCCAAGTCACAGCCCAATGGGAAGAACACAACACAGAAGAACTAGTCACAATTGATCATGAAGCTCTCAGATTCTGCTGGAATCAGCAAAAGAAAAAGGCGAATGACTCGCAAAGAATTCGACGACGAGGGGCATGTTCTAACCAGACTAGCAGATTTGACGGATGCACCTGATATTGTAACGAATTCGAGGAACGTTACGCATAGCGGGAATCCAAACAGGAGACCAGAGTTGCTGCAGGGCATCCTAGCTGCAACATCTTTCCTCAAGCACATAAACAAGAATCAGGTAGATGTGGACAGGTGCTTTACTTCACAATCGAGAGAGGACTCAGCCTGGACTGATAATGAGGCTGGAAGTGGGTGACAAGATTCAATGGTTTGGTGCTCGCGCCGATAGATCGTAACATTGGCGATACTGCGATCATCTTCTCGGTCCTATACAGACATGCCTATGGTGCATGTTCACGTGGAACGCAGCATATGAGACAGTGGGACATACTGAGATGAAAGTGCTTGACATAAGCAAGAGGGAGTACGTGGACGCGGGACTGACGACAGTGGGAAACTGGAAGACTGATGTCAAGCTTGGGAGAGCCTACATTATCCCGAAGGATAAAGATTTGCACTGGTGGAGACCGATTTCATTGGCCTCCAGCGACCCTGCAGGACTGGGACAGAGGAGATGCACAAGGGATTTACAGTAATGGTGACCATGTATGCGAGCGAACTTAATTTCCATCTCAATTCAGCGAAAACTCTGAAGGAAGAACTGCTGACTACCAGTGAATCGCTACAGGGACTAGGTTTGCGCTGCGGCCATGGGAAGGGGCTGTGACATCAAGGAGATGTTCTCCTCTGTCCCGCATGAGACTGTTACAGATGCAGTCTTTCAACTGATACGGAGCTTTGAGAACCACGGCTGGGAGAAGGTTAGAGTGGCGACGAGAGGAAAGCAATGCGCTCTTTCAAAGATAGGTAGGGGAGAAGCTGGATATGTGAAGGTCAAATTCGAGATTATTTTCAAAATAGTAGAATATGACCTTTTGCTCGCGTAAATGCAGTGTGGTGAAGTGATTAAAAGACAGATTGTTGGGGTCCCGATGGGCAAGACAATGAGCCCGGTACTAGCTACAGTAACCTGTGCGAGGCTACGCCCACTTAGCCCCTACGGGGCCCTATCTGCAACAAGGTCGGCCGCCCTAAGTGAAGGCAGGCACGACAGGCCCTTCGGGCCTCACTCTTCAGGGTACCCCGCAACGGGGAAATTCAGACAGTTGCATTGCGCCAGTTGGCTGAATGAATCCAGGCCCTGGGTCGCCTGTGTAAATGAATGTGAAGCAGGCCCTGGGCTGGATACGGGTACCAGGCCAAACACAGGCCGAAAGCAGTTGGGCGCATGCAACCACTTCAGGCCCCAGGCCTGCTCCCTTCGTGACTGGGCCTGTGCCTACAGGGGCCTACCGGAAGTTTCCTGGACTGGACGCAGGCAGGCCACTTCGATATAGGGAAGGGCCTGCCTCCTCATTCGGCATTCGGGTGCTGGCTGCATGCTGCGTAAGCGCTGCTGCGCAATGCGCTGGCTGGCTGGCACTCACGCTCTCACGGGCGAGTAGGAGGGAGCACGCAGCCATAGCCAAGCTGCGCTGCTGTATGCTAGGTGAAGCGCAGGGTGGTCCTTGGGGTGCTAGTGGCATYTGTGCGGTGTGGATCGGGGTTGTGAGTGTTACGAGAGACATACCTGGTGCTGAAGCGTGCGAYATTGGTCGCCATATGCTYGTACTTCGGGAACGCTGTTGATGTCATCATTCTGCTTCATAGTATAGGTTAGATAGGATCTGCCACCTGTAGTCTGGGCGCCGAGCGCCAATAGGATATCAACTCTGGTTCGTAGTTGATGATGATGGGACTTCTTCAGCATTGTCAATTTTGAACTCTTGGTGTGTTCTTATTTGGTGTATCTCGTGATGCCAGT